CGAGTTTCTAGTCATCCCTCTGAACTGAGTCTTCCTATCTGAGGCCCAGGACATAGTGGAGCAGAGACAAAACAACTCCACCATGCCCTATCTGAATTCTGGGAGGATAAAAGAACTGTTGTTTTCACATTGCAATGTTTGGAGGTGGTTTATTATGCAGCAATAAACTAAAACAGAGGCTGACTAAAAAAACTCTAAGAGCACACATGGAAGGCTAAACATTTCAGAAAACAAAGCAGGAGTTAAAAGAATTCAATAGAAAATATTTATGCTTTTTCCCCCAAGCAATTTATGCTTATAAATCATAAATTCTAAAAAACTTACAATATCTTGTTCATATGAATAATATAAACATTCTAGAATAAGACATGAAACATAGTTGCCAACCAGTTTGGGACTATTCTATTACAATGGCTTTATGGCTGTTTGATATAACAAACCTAGTTATTAAATATTTATTTAATTGAAAATAGTAAATAATTAGGATCAGCTAACTTAGTCCAACTGGCCTAACCAGTCCAACCAGTTTTTGTGTTTGTGTAGAATGTTGAATGCTGGACTATGCTATGATTTCAGACACCTTGTAGGTAATAGTAAACAACTCTTATGAAGTTAGTCTACACCAGAAAAGCTTTCTAAGTTTTAAGGTCAAATTGTTATATAATCTATCCTACTAGATATTCACTAATGCTGAACTTCAGGAATATATTGGTTAACAATTAGATAACAATTTGGTTATATGTTTAAATATCCCTCCTGAACAAGCAAGGCCCTGGAGCTCCATACCTAACCTGGGCTTCTGGGAGGCTGTGTTGACTTAGGGGATTGTCAGGAATGTCCTAAGAGGTACAGAGTTTGGGTTGAAGCAAATTTAAAAGCATTACTCTGAGGCACAAATAAAATCAAGTTTGGCACAAGGGACAAAAACCAGGCACGATAAGGGTAAGCCACAAACACAGAATGAGTATTTATAAGCGAGATGAAAAATTCATTGGAAATACTTTAAGATGAAGTATTTGTCTAATGGTTCCGAGACTAATTCCAATATGCGAGTGGTCCCTCCCCCCACCCCCCCCCCCCCCCCACAACACACACACACTACCAGGGAATGCTCAGGACACCCGCTGGGTGCCCAAAAATCACTAAATTCGGGCATTATCTACCTGGAAAAAGCATCAGATTCCAAGGCAAAGACTTCAGTCCCACCAAATAGCCCTCCACTTCAGCAAGGCCAGGTTAACACCTGTGCTTCTGACCAATCAACTCTAGATTGGAGATTCCAAGACCCTCTCCTTGGACTTCAGACACCAGTCAAAAGTCCAGGTTGTTACTTGTACTTCTGACCAACTGGGTGTAAATCAGAGGTTTCCATGACCTCCCACCCTCTTGGATTCCATTAATTAGCTAGAGTGGCTCACAGAACTCAGGGAAACATTTACTTAAGTTTACCAGTTTATTATAAAAGGATATGATAAAGAATACAGATAGAAGAGATGCATCAGGCAAGATATGTGGGATGGGGGTGAAGCTTCCATGCCCTATCTGAGGCATCCTGCCATGTCTGTGTTTACCAACCCGGAAGCTCTCTGAACCCTGACCTTTTGTGTTTTTATGAAGACTTCATTACATAGGCGAGATTGATTAAATCATTGGCCATTGGTGATCAATTCAACCTCCAGCCCCTCCTGTAATTCATAAACCATCAAAAATACCTGAGAATTTTTAAAATTAGGTTTTCTCCTATATTTAATATTTGGAAGAAAAGCTGCAGGTATTTGTAAGTCACTTAATCACTGCGTATCTTTGCCTATAGGCCTCTGATTGAATAAATCAGTGTTTTAATGCTTACACTTTGAAGATTTCTGTTCTTCCAGAAGATAGTATTGCAACAACTGCATTTCATTTCTGTGTGATCTCATTCTGGCACTCTAGAATTGTTTAAAGTCATTTAAGACAGAATTTACTATCACTGTGGATCCAGCTGTATTAAGTGATCAATTATTTAAAATAATAAATTTGGGACCCCGCCCTGCCGCAGGGGAGGGCAGGAGGAGGATGATTGACAAAGCTGATCAGTGGCTAGGGGCTCGCAGAGGGCGCGGCTGAGCTTTCCCCTTAAACGGTTGGGTTGGGCCTCGGGAACAGCCTCCCCAGGCCTCCCGGCCTCCCGAATGGGTTGTTATGGTAACAAATGACCGAACAGTCCCTTACGAACTGGCCAATGAGAGGGCCCGTCTTTTCCACCGCACCTCTGAGCCCGAGGTGTTGCAAAGGTCCAGGCGGGAGCAGACGGTGGGGACGTTCTGCGGAAGAGCGGGAGCGGGGCTTGTGACGTCACCACGGCCAGCCTATCACGCTACCTTCTTGCTCAAGGGCTCCGCCCCTTTACCACACATTTCCCCTCCCTAGCTCATTTCGCACG